CGCGCGCGCGGGGAGGGGGCGAGTCCCGGGCAGGGCGAGGGGGGTGCATCGCGGATTGAGACGCCAAGTTTGCAGGGTAGGTGGATGGGTGGGCGTCCAAAAAGCGCTCCTTGCATTTAATGAACTAGCCTGATGTGCTGTTTTTCTACATGCGGGGAAGGATAGGCAGCCGGGGAGAAACCATGCCAAAATGTGATTTGCAGAGGCGCGTGGTGTGACCTTGATGGTGGGTACGCTGCATGATGTGGCTAGTGGGTTATGGGTGTTCCCCCATGGCCTTTATTTTATTTTATTTTTTTGCCGTCTTCCAAGTCTTCCGGCCTAATTTAAAGGTTGCCAAGGAAATCAGGTAACGCAGCTTTGCACCATCTTCTATTAAACCAATGCTTTCCCGGAATTTACTTCTGATTTTTTTTTTGTTTAAATGGCCTAAATTTGCAGCGAATCCCTTTGTTTGCAGATCCTATCCGTTTCCTGTGTTTCCATGACTTGGTGACCTTTCTCCTCTTAGTGGTTAGTGATCTGTTTCGTCTAAAAGAATCACTCACCCAGAATTCTCTGCTTCTTTGAGTGGCATATAAAGAAGTAAGTCCCTCTGTATTTCTCCAGAGCCTGAGAAAGTTACACCTCTGGACTACAACTCCCAGAACGCACCAGCCAGAAGGGCCAGTATCTATACAGGCTGGATAGTTCTGGGAGCTGTACTCCAGAAAAGTAACTTTGCCAGACTTGGAGCAAGATATGAAGGTAGGAAGCAGCTCCCTACTTCTGATTGTTTCATGATGATGCCACACAATGGCATTAGCTTCACCCAAAAAAGTAACTTATCTGGCTGACTGTTGGTTCTTAGCTTTTGAAGTAAGAATCTGATGAAACCACAACATCTTGCAGCATTGAATTTCAAAAAACAAGGACCCCACCAGAAACATGGTTGAATTTTATTTTGTTAAGAAGCAGAATGGGGGAAACATGTGTAAAAACCCATCCAGCCTTTACAAAAAGCACACAATCACCATGAAGTAACACAGAGAATTAAAAGGACCCCCCCCCACCATTCCTGTTATATAGTCTCAATTATATCACTTGGCAAAATGTGTTTGTGATTAAGGAGGATAAAGAGCTATCGCGGTGTCACCCCCAGACTCCGCTGCACTTCCTCCCTAAGCTTCATCTGCATTGCTGCTGCCTGCTGTCGACTGAGCGCTTTGTCACAAGACCGGTAAGTGACCCGGTAGCAGAGGCTGGTTTGGCTTGTGCTTGGGTGCAAGAAGCAGTCGAGCAACTGGAAGGATGCCACTGTTTCGCCAGATACACACCTGGCAATGGTGTGAAGTTGCGTTTCGTCAAATCGCCCTGCTTCGGGAACCCAGAAACTGATGTCATGCTCATAGGAGGGTGGATACAGCGAAAAGCTCTTGAAAGGGCCCAAATACCCCCCTGCAAACTGAGCCAAGAAACGCTCATCAGAGGTCCAGAGCATGCGCCAGTCCAAGATCCCACATATTTGCATAGCTAGGAGATCCAGATTCAATGAAGCATAAACACATTCTTGACCAATGCTCACTGGCTGCCATGGAGCTGCATTTACTGTCCCTACACAAAGTTTCCTTGGTTCGGCACCAGAAGGGTCAAGGGCCACAGTGATAAAATATTTCAATTTACAACGTTGGAGTTCCATAATTGGGAACGTATTTGTTGGTGGTGTTTCTGGCTCATCCATGGTACAGTCCAGCCTGAAACCAGAAGGTTGGAGCAGAGGGCTTAAAGCAGCGGTAATGTTTTCTATAAGGCGCTGGATGCACGTATCTTCTGAGCCTTTACTAACCTTGCAGCCAAAGACGGCCTCGTGAAAAACAGGCAGATTGTGCTTGGAAATCTTGCATTTCCTAAAGACCAGGCCACTGAGGACGAGGAGACTCCCAGGAAGAAACTCTGTTTGTTGTGAAACTGCGTGAAGAGAAGGCAGCATGGAAGGTCTAAGATAATACTTGTTCAAGACCCAGTCCTTTTCCCATCTGATCAAGTCATGACCGTGACCAGTCCTATCCCAGCTCAGAAAGCCGGAAGGAAAGGCAAAGGTCTCTGTGGTCTTGGCCACGTTGTGAACTGCAGGCTGAGAGTTTGAGTTTCCTTCTGCAACAGGAACCATCCAACAGCCGTCCGGAGAGAAAAGAGAGCTGGGGCCGTCTTGGAACGCCAAGGAAAGGGAAGTGTTTACCTTCTGAACTGGGAAAGATTTGCTGAGCTCAGCAAGGAGCTTCCCATTTAGTGTCCTTACAGGATGTTCTGAATTTCTATCCAGGAACCCCCTTTTTCAAATTAAAAAAATAAGACAAAATGATAATGATTATGAACAAGTAACTAAACTCAGTTTTCATATTTCAAAGAACATCATATTATTCAGGCGGAGCCAAATGTGTGAAGGGCTATGCCAGTTTAGTGGGAATGACGTCATCCCCAGTGGCAGACTGCCATCAGTTAAAGAGTCCTCTGTTTTGATTTTGGATTGTGTGTGACTCTTGTGCAATAAGAATCTTTAATTAACGGCAATAGTCTAATTTAGTGGCAATATGCTTCTGTGGCTGATCTCTTTCCCACTGCACCTGCTTAGCTACACAACAGGATGTTGGCCATTTTACTCAGCACAAGTTTTAGACTGGGATCAAGCTACTGAGATACATACTTGGAAGTAAATACCACTGCAGTGTAGTTTACCTTCAAGTAAATGGGATGATGTTGAGGGTGTAAGTTCCAAAAGCACCCTGATCGTAAGGCAAGTTGAACATCGGTTGAGTGGGCGTTTTGTGCCCCTTTAAAATATGGAATTCAAAACTCAGTTGCACACCTGTTTATCTTGTCTAGAAATATCTCAGGAACAAGGAAAGGCGCCAGCTTGCCTCCCAGTTCTGTCTGACTCATCGCAGGCCCAGTGTGTGGATGATGGAAACTCTGTGTGAATATGTGGTTCAAAGCTCCTTCGATGCAGAAGGATTTATCTTGACTCCTGTAAATAAACAAGACAAGAACATTTTTTCAGGCGAATGAAGGGCGGCTTTTCATGAGCACTAATACAATACCAAAAAAGGGGAAGTGAATCAAATGAATTGCCTGGTAAGATCTGAGGGTTTGGGGGTTTCTCAGCTGTAGTTGCCTCACTTTGAAGGCTTGACTGATGCATCTGAAGGCTTGGGGGTTTCTCAGTTGCCTCACTTTGAAGGCTTGACTGATGCTTTTATTTTGGCCCTATGTTAAAATCTGGCCATTTTATAATGAGAGAGATTATGCTTTGGCCTTCCATCTCCCAGTTTGCTGTTTTGTTTTTTGCCTGTGCTGTTAATTTAAATTTTTTTTTCGCCATCTGCAATGGAATTTGTTTCTTTCAGTGTGATTTTATTGACTATACCCACTCTAAGCCTGTTGAGACAGGATGGATTACAAATATTTCATTAAATACACTGTCCCCACATTTCTGGTGGGTTTTAGGGGAGGTTGAGATCCAACCCATTTCCCTTTATCAACTCACCAGACAAAATCTTGAGGGTGAAAGACTGGCCTTGCGCTCGACAACTAGAGGTAAAAGAAGCTTAAAGAGTAGCAGCTTTCAGTTTCATGCCCTCTGAGTAACAGAAGGAACACTGTTGTGCATGCTTCTCCAACCTACAGAAACTGTAGGTTGGAGCACGTAGGCTGTTCCTTCCACACAAGAGATAGTGCTCAAGAGCCTAGAGTGGATGCTGGCACGGTGGCTGTTCATAACAACCCAAAATAGCATCCTGGATGCCAGCCAGTCATTGTGCAACATCTGCATCTTACCTGTAACCTGTACAGGTATATCCACGAGCCTCATTAAAGGGATGAACCTGGCTGAGGATAAATCCAGCCTCTGCTGCCATGGTCACCACTTGCCAGCTGTTGTGACACTCCCTCATGGGCTGGTCCGCAGGGGTACCACCCTGCCCTCTGCAAAGCGCCACGTGGACCTCTCCTTTCTCTGCCAGGACATCGGCACAGCTGGAGCAAAAACAAGATACATGATTGGGCCTTGGAAGAACCAGGTTCAAATCCTGCACTGAGCTATTAAAGCATTGCATAATCTTGGATGAATTGGCCTCTCTTAGCTTGACCTCCTTCACAGGGTTGTTGTGGGGATGAAGCAGAGATGTGGATATTCAATGTGACTTTAAACTGAACGTACCTACTGCTGTGGAAGGACCAAATGCAAGTCTAGCTAGTACACGACTGCATATTTTGAGGGCAAGATTTCTGATACAAAGTGGTTATAACAGAAACTAACACAAAGGCCATGAGAGAAAAGCACAGCTTTGCTTTGCTGCCTCCTCACCTGCAGAAAAACCGAGCAAGAAGCTCCCGGTTCTTTTTCACTCCGGCTTTTCTCCCACAGTGGGGGAAGTTGAAATAAATGCGGTCAAATCTCCTCTCAGCTGGGGGAAAGAACTCTTTCAGTTTTGTGCAGTCAACGCCAAAATGAACTTCGGCACCTAAAATAAGCAGATGGCTTAAGATAGTGGAAGGATATTGCCAATTATTAGTGTTGCCTTTATTAAAATATTTAGAGGCTGACTTTCTAGCAGCACACAAAATTCAAACTACAAATAAAATGCAATATTGTAAAATGTTAATGTAGAATATGCTAAAATACATCAGCCAATGTAAAATATAATTTACTCTGCATTTTTAAAAAAGGACATTTCCAGAACAACAGCCATAAAACAATAGGGTCACAAACACATTGAACTATCCAGCCAGCTTATTACTATTATTTGCAAAAATACTTCTTCAAAAAAGGCAATCGGAAGTTGAACGGCAATCAACCTTCTTTGCAGTTTTTACCTCTGTCTCTCAGATACTGTATGTTGGAAAGGGCAAGCGCTTGTTTTGAAACAGCATCTTCACTGGCATAGCAGGTAGCAACAATGTGGATCCCACAGCCGCTGGTTTCACACAAACCAGCTGAGAAGGAGAAATTTCCTTCTCCAACCAAAAGGCAGCACGGTTGACGATGCTGAGGTCTCATCCTGGAAAAACCTTAAAATAGAGGAAGACAGAGGACTGGTTTCACAATCTTTGCTTTGTGCAAAGCATTAATGAACCAGGCTGCTTTGTGTGTGGGGTGTGTGCCTGTGTCTTTCTTTCTTTCTTTCTCTCTCTCTCTCTGAGGTATAGCTCAAGACTGAACCTGCCAAAGGAAACTGAACATCACAGCATTTTTTTTCCAACACCTTGTTAGGAAACCTCAATAGACATTATTTGCAGCATACCAAATCCTACACTTGATTTTTCTTTCTATTCTTTATTTTTTATTCTAGTTCAGTATTGCAACATGTTATTGTAAGATTTATGTAATATTCTTGTGTTATTTTATAGATTTTCATGTTATATTGGAAGCCGCCTACAGTGGTTGTTTCAACCAGATGGGCGGGATACAAATCAAATAAATAAATAAATAAATACAGCTCCGCGTGCAACTGTTGAATGCCTGCAGAGAAGTCTTCATTTGCGTCTACGCTGTTTGCGTAATTGCACAACAGGATTTTAGCCAGCGAGGGATACGGAGGCCAAAAAGCAGTTAATCCTGGGTAATTCGTTATGTTTATTGATTCCCTCCCTCCTGCTGGGCTCCGGCATTAATGAGCAACGTCCAGATCCTCTGTTCCCGGGTGGCCTGATGTGTCCCTTCCTTCCTCGCCCCTTTTTCCCTTCCCACTGCTGCCCCGGATCCTCCACCCTTTGCGCCCCTTGCGCTCACCTGCCTCTCCGTCCGTCCGGCCTGGAAAGGCTGAGGGGGGCGCGCCGGTTGCGCGTCACTTCCGCCAGGACCCGTAGGCCCGCCCCTTCCCGGCTGCCGGCTGGTTGCCGCTTGGGCG